ACGTCAGACTTATGACTGCAGGCAACGACCTGCACGCCGAGCTCGAGGAAGCGCTGTTTCGGTACCAGTACGCGATTGCTCAGGCCGATGCAGCCAAGGCATTGCTCGAGAGAGAAGTCGAATCCGTGGCCCAGATGCATCGAGTCAAAGTACGTGCCGTCCCGTCGATACCGCAGAGAGCACGTCGATAGAAGCGTTCCTTCAAATAGGACGACCATACGACCGAGTACAACGGCAAACTGGGTGTCGTCGACGCCATGCTGCAGTGTCCCAACGACGAAGATGTCCAAGTGTGGGGCGCGTACATGGCGTGCTGCATGACGGAAGGTGCGTCCTTGCAACTGCTCACGTCGAGACATCGCAGCAGCTACCGGACTCTCTCTTGGGACGCTCAGCCGCAACTTAAAAAAAGGCGCGCTCGAAAGGCACTCCACACGCATCAAGCCCCTTCTCTCCGACTCAAACAAGGAAGACCGCGTAAATTTTTGCCGTCGATTTTGACAATCTATGGGACGTTGTTCATTTGGATGAAAAATGGTTCAATGCAGACAAGGATCGTCGAAAGGTTTACCTCGTTCCTGGCGAGAAATTGAGGCAACGCCGTTGGAAAAGCAAACGCTTCATCCCCAAGGTGATGTTTCTCTGTGCTGTTGCGCGTCCTCGTTTCGATGAACAACGCGGGGCCATTTTCGATGGCAAGATTGGTATGTGGCCATTCGTTCGACTTGCGCCGGCCGTCCGCAACTCCCGCAACCGTCCAGCAGGCACTATGGTGACGACGTTAGTAAATGTGGACGCAGTTACCTACAAGGATTACGTCTTGAACAAGGTCATACCAGCAATAAAGGCGTCGTTCCCAAGTGCATCCATGCGAGTGGTTCTGCAGCATGATAATGCGACACCGCATGGCCGCCTAACGGACGCCGAACTTGAGGGTGCATCAACGGATGGTTGGACGTTTACCTTGCGTCGGCAGCCGCCGAACAGTCCAGATCTGAACGTGCTTGACCTCGGGTTCTTCGCCTCGATACAAACCCTACAGTACAAGAAGATGAGCCGTACGGTCGATGATGTAATTGCCAACACCATGGAAGCCTTTCAAGAGCTGAACTACGAGACACTTGAGAGTGTATTTCTCACTTTTCAAGCTGTCATGCTTTTGGTCCTTCAACACTCCGGGGGTAATGAGTTTGCATTACCTCACCTGAAAAAGGCATCGTTGAGACGCGCTGGTCTCTTGATGTCCAATGTGTCATGTCCTCTATCACTGCTTGTGTAGGTCAGTATTATTGACCAATAAAATCATTGCATACATAATTGAGCCAATCATATCAAAAAGTGCACAGTAATGTGGAACAATAGCATTTTTCAAAATGACACAGTAATATGGAACAGAGGAAGTATCTCAATACTTGATCACACTTCCAGTCTTTTTGGAGAATTGTACTACCTGTTTCCGAGTATCACTGGAAGAGCCGGTGACGGATTACGCTCAATATTCATCACGAATCTCAAATTCTAGATCAATTCTTCCATTATGTCATCTCAGAGAAATATACTTCGGTGTTGGCGAAGGCATGTGTGCCAAGCGGGCCAGGCAGACCTACGTCCGGCAAAGGGAGAAATCCTTACCTGACGGATTTGGGGCTCGAGGGGATTTTCGATGCCTTCTCGAACGTTCATGGAACTGTCACCTGTCCCCCGTAGTCAGGCGAAGTTATGAAGGAGTATGGTGTATCATTACAAACGATCTCCAGAATTTGGAAAAGAGGACTCCATCCTAGTGTCGACAAAAACGGAAGTGCCCAGACTCGGAGGAAAGGAAGTATGGGCGCAAGCTCCTAAATTCTGATCTTTTGGCTAGAATACTCTACTGATGCTTTGTGCGACCTCTCTGTTGCAATAAATGTGCCATATTTGGTTCTGCACGACCACTACAATCGGTGGTCTTTCGCAAGTACTCCCGCCATTTGAAACCATAAATTGGTTTCAAATGACATATATTTAAGTAAAAATAGGCGTTAAGCATAATTAGCTCGGATTTCACTGTGAAAACTTGGAAAACTACCTCCATGTGGATGAAAAATGGTTCGTGCTCAAAGTGTTCATTTTGCAGAAAAGCCTCCGCCAAGACTGGTGAAAACAAGTACTTTATCCTCCAGGTTGACATATCAACACAATAAATCTATCATCGATTACATAGGATAGGTCGGATAGGTCATATTCCTATGCGCCGTTGCTAAACTCCGCTGGGATAATGCCAGCAGGAATTCCTGGAGGGACGGCATGTTTGGCTGTTGGCAGTGTTCGTTCCCGCCGCCAGATATAGCAAGAACCGTTCCAAAGGAACACCAATGACCACACCTCTGTAGTCACGCGCATTGTCTTAGAAAAGGTCATACCGGCGATCAAGGCAAACTGGCCACTTCATGACTCTAGAGAAATATATCTCCAACAAGACGACGCGCGCTCACACGTACATCAGGACGGTGTCGACATTCGACTCGCTTGTACGTCGAATGGATTTTCCATCTCCAGCGTCTGCCAACTCGCCAACTCGCCCGATACCAACGCACTGGATCTTGGATTTTTTCGTGCCCTACAATCCAACCATGCGAAGCGACATACACGATAATTGGACGACATTATACCCAACGTACTTGCCGCGTGGAGTGACGTGCATTGTGCGACGCTGCTTGCCAACTTTGCACGCTGCAGTTCGTATTGAAGATGCTCAAATATAGTGGCGGCAACAATTTCCGCGTCCTCCACCCGAAAGAGTGCCAGCAGGAGGGCCAAGGCCGACTGCCCGATGAACCGCTGTATCCCATCGACGTTGTTGTGTCCGCTGGTGTCATTCTCAGCGCTGAGGACGAACGTCTCCACACCGAATCGGCTAAGGCCTCGAGCGAAGTGGTGCTGTGCAAAGCGTTCGAAGAATTGCAATTTGACATCAATGACATCGACGAGTTCGATACTGATTCATTTTATGAGTGTTCTCTACGTTAAATACTCTTTGTTAAGTATTTATTCGATGTGACTAATATATTTGTACTGAAAGAGCATGCAATTCATTGCGAAATTTGTCCTATATTAAGTGAGAAAGTTATTTTGGTACTTCGGAGCATCACAATAGATATTTCTCGTCCCCTGTAGCAATTGTTGTGAAGTTCTATGATATATTTTAGTTTGAGCTGCTTCAACCTTGGTACTAAACAACATGAGCTCAATCAGTTATCGTGTCATAAAATTAATTCATTGCTGCAGGCTTTGGAACAGGGCACTCGATGGCAAGTCGCCATCATTTATCCATGTCAGATGAATTGGCTCTTCCAGTTAAACTTGGCAGAACGTAGTGCCAGAGTTTCGCGATTTTTTTACTCCCTGAGCTAGAATTCAATCTTTGATCTTTGATAAGGAGGTCTGTTGTAAGGGCATTGACATTTGCCATCCAATTGAAGCTACATTTGAATTGGTGCAAGCGTACGTATGAGCGATGAATTCGCGATCTGTGACTTACATCGTTCAACTCTTATCGACCAAACCTTGCGAGGATCTGAACATGTTTTCCAACTCAAAAGAAGTCGAACAAGTGCATCTCGGGGTCATCGAACAACACTGGGGCCAAACTTTCCAGTGGTGGTCTGCGATCTTGACTGCAATTTGTCACTGCATCCCAACAATCCAGTCAAATTTGTGAAGTCGTTTCTCACTGCATTGTGAAACACGGCGGTGGTTTGGCAAGGGGGGGAAGCCTTCATATGACGGCGTTCGTGAGCCTGAGGAAGCACATCGCGTCCATCGTAGCGTGCGTAATGGGCAGCTGCCAGCATCATCGAGGATCCAAAGGCTATTATTAATCAACACAGCACTAAATCATATGTTGGTGTCATGCTCATGACACCAACATCCCAAGGTTGGAGAACACTTGTCGAATTCTTGGGGCAATAGTTCCAAAACGCTACACCTCCGTTCCACAAAAATTGTCTGATACTTTTGCATTGCTTATAATATGCACAGCGCCATTGAAACGTCTTAACCATTGTATTCAACTCCAAAATAAAAAACATATACACCGCAAAAAACATATTGTACTGTACTTGTTGTGTCTTATTCAAGAGAATTGAACAAGGCAGCGTGGTGAACCTCCTCACCAAATTGGCATTTCATATGCTCACGTAATCGAGGCGTCAAACTCGACATTATACGATGCAAAGTCTGCAATGAACGAATCCTTCTTCATGTGAAGAAGTTTACAATCACGGGAAGAGAGCCAAAACGAGCAAGCGTTGAGCGATTAGCGTAGTTCTCTGACGCTCCGCAATTGATCAAAAGAATGAGTCGGTGGGAAAACCTGTCACGGCATGAGTCAGAGTAACATTCATTTGGAACGTAGCCCGACACGGCATACATGAAGGTGTGTGTTTGAGGCTATGTCCTCCGAGTGTGATATGACGCCACATACCTCGGGGGAACCTATTGGTGCCCAGTAGAGCGTTACGCGCCTGGTGGTCAGATCGACCAGGTGGCCCAGTGGATTGCCTTAGCTGGGGGCGTGAAAGGGTTTTCGACTGTTTGGGCGGCAAATCGGATGGCAAGCCTTGTGCAGAGGAAGTGTATGTGCCCCGAGGAGCGCGGAACTCACGCTAAAGGTGACCCTTACGACCGCTGTTGCTGCATTTGCCGTCGATTATATGGGATAGAGCGGAGATATCCATTTCTGATAGATCGGCACGGTTGTGCGCTAGGGCTGAAACGTACGGCTCAGCAAGAGCGATGCGGACAACTTCTTCGAACGAAGATGAACAAATACGGAGGAGCTGTGTACGCGCCGGGCCGTGGTTGAATCCGGCCATGAAGAAGTTGACTCAGAGAGGTTCCGGTAGCGTGGAGTCGTTGTTGACGTTCGCGGCCAAAAAGCGAAGGTCATGTGTGTAGTCTTGGAAGGATCGTTAACCTTGCAAGCATGCTAGAAACTTAGAGCGTTATTGGAAATCGCTGTGTTGAGGAAGGAAGCGGAGCTCCATCACCGCGACGACTCGTCAAACGTTGCAAAAGTTGTGGGGTTGTCAGGCGGATAGAGTACGCCCAGTCTTCCGGCTGCCCTTAAGATGGGAAGGGGCAAACGCCGCGCATGTAGACTCGCGGGTGATACATAGCGCATTTGCCGAGGTCTCGACTTGTAGGATCCTCCGGAGGAGCTTGCCCGCGTCGGAGTCAAACTTGGTGACGTCATGCTTCACTGGATTGACACGAATACAGGGGATTGTTGGGGCTGGCTGTTCGCAGTCGTAGCCTCTCGGTATGCGCAGAGAGTCTGTGCATGTGTGTCCTGAAGAGACTGGCGCAGCTTCCACACAGATGGTTCCAGTGTCGAACTGCGATCGCGAAGTTTTGCGACCTCGGCTTGCAGGGCGGAACCACGTTCGCGCATTGTTTTCGCTTGGTCGTCGCTCTGGTCGAGCGATTCTTTGAGGGCTCAACCTTCCTCGGTCAGCTGGCTGATGTGAGCTTCGAGGGGTTGTGCCGTGCCATTGAGGTGATGCCGATTCCTTCAAGCAGTCGCACTTGGGCATCGACGAAGATGGGAGACAAGAGCGACTGGTTGTCGTCCTCGCTAAGTATGTCGACTATGCGATCGTATTCTGCTTGGTGGGAAGCTGTCATGACCCTTGGACGAACTTGTAGTGTTGCAGGTGTAACCGGGCACATGCAGAGGAAGGAGTAGGTTAAATGAAGATTCGATTGGCAGGGTTATGCTTCTAATCTCTGCTACATGAATATGGGAAGTTCAGGCGAACCGTAGGTAGAGTCGGTAGCAACCCAGGCGACTTGTTGGGAGGTCGCCTGCAACCTTTGAAGGGTCGGATTCAATGTCGATGACGGTCTTGACATACATCCGGAAAACAGTACCGTAAAACTGTTACACTTTTAATAATCAATTCATGTCAAAATTGTGCTTCAACAATCACAGACTTGAATCCTCGAGTGTATGTTTCTGCAACAGGGAACGGCGTGGAGTTGAGTTTCCTTGCTGTCATAGGCACAGAGTGGTTAAGCTCTCGATGGTGTTAGCTCAACCTCTAATGCAGACCACAAGATGTGGAAGCGACGTCCTTGGATCTAAGACTGTACGCTTCACGAGAAGGGAAATGCGTTTTCATTCGATTGCGCCGGGCTACATTTAGATTGTGCCAGGGGTGAACCGTTCTTTCATGCCTTTCTGTGTCATGAAATTGAAAAACAAGAACCCTAATCCACATGTTCAAACACCATTTTGGGCCAAAACGGGGTTTCAAACTTTTCAACTTTGGCAATAGTGGGCCGCGACAGTTGCGATGACGTTTTGGTCCAAAATAGCTTAATGAGTCTCAACATGATAGCATGCTTGCATTCGACCAGGCTAAGTCATTCGATTCATGTCCGACTTTACTGTGGCCCAGGCCCTGCGCGACCTCGACAATGCACTTTCAGCGACGTGTCAGCTTCGACTGCTCCAAAACGCAACGTTCTTGACGGCTCCTGGTAACAAACATATGATTGCTGTGACAACCCGCTTTAGAGCCGAAAATGGCGTTATCGCGAGTTTACCGAGATATTCCTACTATACCCAGATCTCTTAGAACTGTCTGTCTTGTGAATCCTTCAAACTATTATAGAAAACTTGCCAATGGTCAATTCGCCCCGGCACCACGACAACTACAGTGCGCGACATAAAGGAAAGGACACGTGGAAAATTGAGGTATTTCCAGAAAATTTCAGTCGAAACTTGACTTTTCGAGCTATTTAGGTATTTTGTTGAGCAATTCGAGACGAACACAGCACATATTCCAGATCCTTCTAACTCGTGATGGGCAAGGACTTCTTGTCGAATTTCATATTATATGTTGCGACAAAAAGAAAAGGACTAAACAAATTTCAAGATAATGTTGACATTTTACAAGTAAAATGTCAATTTCATGCCTAAGGGAAAGACCATCACACAGCGCCAAGTTGGCGAGATTCTCGCGCGACACGACCACGGTGAATCCCTTCGTCAGATCGCCCAAAATACAGGTTGTTCCAAGACATCCGTCGCCAACGTCCTACGCAACCCTACCACGTACGGGAAATCCGTCCCGACCGGCCGTCCACCCAAGCTGTCCGACCGTGACATGGCCGTAGCCCAGTCCTCCGTGAGGCATCTAAAGGAGAGAAAAGTGCCTCTGAAATTCAACTCATGTACAATCTCGATGTTTATGTTCGTACCATTCAACGCATTCTCCACGACTCTGAACATCTGGAATACGTGTACCGAGTTGCAACCCCACCCCTTACTACCGCCCACATCCAAGCGCGCCTGTCGTGGGTCTAAAAGTATGTTTCACTTGGCGACGGGTGGAAACGTGTCATCTTTTCGGATGAAAAGAAGTTTAACCTTGACGGTCCGGACGGATACCAGAAGTACTGGCACGACAAACGGAAGCCCAAGCAGCAACGATTGAACCGACAGCAAGGTGGTGGCAGCGTCATGATTTGGGCGGCGTTTTCGTGGCTCGGCAAGAGTCAAGTGGTCTTTCTTGATGGTCGTCAAGACTCAGGATGCTACATTTACGCGCTGTCAGAGTACATGCTACCGTTTGCTCACCTCTATAATGGAACCGAGTTTGTGTTCCAACAAGACAATGCGAGCATTCACAGCTCGTATGACACGATGGACTTCTTGGAAGAGAATGGAGTCGATATCATGGAGTGGCCGGCCCTATCACCAGACATGAACCCGATCGAGAATGCATGGTCTTACCTGTCGCGAAAGGTGTACGACAATGGACGTCGACAATTCCGAACACGCAATGAACTCAAGCGACAAATCCTTTTGTCATGGGGTGAGATTGAACAGAGCTACTTGACTAAGCTGGTTGACTCCATGACGTCTCGCTGCCTTGCTGTCCATGCATGCCATTGTGCAAAGACAAAATATTGATCAGAATTCATTTTATCTTGAAATTTGTATAGTCCTTTTCTTTTTGTCGCAACATACAATATGAAATTCGACAATAAGTCCTTGACCATCACGAGTTAGAAGGTTCTGGAATATGTGCTGTGTTCGTCTCGAATTGCTCAACAAAATACCTAAATAGCTCGAAAAGTCAAGTTTCGACTGAAATTTTCTGGAAATACCTCAATTTTCCACGTGTCCTTTCCTTTTTGTCGCGCACTGTAGGTGATACATCACACACGCAACAACGCAAGGGCTATGCGCATAGACCAGGGAATGCGTATCACAGTAGCTTACCGTGGGGAGTGGATAGAATCCCAGTGTTGCAAGGGGATGAATATGATTAGCAGAAGCTCACTGGGCTGGAGTCGTCGGTGTTGGAAATGTTCATGTCGCAGTAATATGGAATCGATCAGCCTATAAACAGTGGTCGATCGCATCGACTGACCGTCCGGAGAATTCATCAAATTCCAGGGGTGACTACCTCTTGTGTGCTCACGCAATGTATAATATACATTTTGAAAACTGGTAGAGGCAGTACTTATTACCGTCGCAGCTGTCGACACCACATTCGAGTTAGCTCTAGGCGGATAACTCGGTTACAGTTGCACAATCCGCTACGTCGACGGTGTCCAGGTACGCTGTCGTCTCCACTCCTTTGGCCACGTCGGAATCCCAATTTTTAAAAGGAATTTCTGCACCAGTCAATAAAACTCATCATAACTTTTGCAATCACTCGTGTTCGAGTTGATTTAAGCTCACGAACAATTGATTGAACCCGGAAAACGTGTTTTGCGGTTGGATCTATTCGCTGCAACTTCGGCAACAGGCAAAGCCTTATGTTGTTGATATTCTAACCTTATTTCCATTACAACATGAAAACTTCGACCTACCTGCTGTGCAAGCTGCTCTTCAATACCTACAACATTGCTATGTCGAAAGTGTGCATGCATGTGCAGTATCAAGAGACGTTCGTCTCTCGCAAAACTTCGAGTTAGTTCACTATCGACGCCTTATCGTATAGCTCGGCAGTGAGTCCAGGCATTGTTGGCTGTGCTGAATGAAGTATGAATAGGCTTGCGGGCCATGTACCATTCTCCTACAATAGACCAATGAAATTGAAGGATACAAATGTCAGATGTCAAATATAAACATTTTCCAGGTCATTATGACACTTGAAAAAATATAATCTAGAGAGTATTTTATCTACTGTCAAGGACTATGCATATTTAGGATGCAAATTGCTTAAGTTTAATTGACCATTTCATAAAGCGTATTCTGTATGAAGGAATGAGAACGAATCCATTCGAATGGACGTTGAGTACAGTAGAACAACTTTTTTTATAAAAAAGTCATGCATTCAAAGAAGGTCGGTCGATGCGTTCGTCCACTGTAGAATTCTACGTAACATTTTGAATTTAGCCAATCAATACATGTTGCCTTTTCAGAATATTGTCCAATGATCATGAATCTCTGAGTCCGACGTCATCATCGGAATGAATGCACCCTGGTTTCAAACGATGGTGGTTTACGTATCGGATTTGTCTAAATCTCAAACACGCAATCTCCTTTGTGGACAACCTGTACCAGTCCTCATTTACCAATTCTTATTCATCATGCAACCGGCCCTCCCCACCAAGATGCGTGCGCTCTTCCTCCTGAAGAGAGTTACGGCGTACAACCAAGAAGACCTCGAATCGTGTTTTGAAGTCCGTGAGGTGGACGTGCCAACTCCAAAGTACGGAGAAGTTCTGGTCAAGGTCGAGTGCAGTCCCATCAACCCGTCGAACCTGAGCATGCTCCAAGGCACGTACAACTCGGCCAAGCAAGCACCATTGCCGTCGTTGACTGGCACAGAAGGCAGCGGTGTCGTAGTCGCTGCTGGCGGCGGCTTTATGGCGTGGTACATGGTTGGCAAACGTGTTGGTATCGTCAAGTCGGACCAAGGGTTGTGGGCGGAATACGTGACTGTGCCAGCCATGACGTGCATTACTCTTCCCAACGAAGTGTCGTTCGAAAGCGGATCGTCTTGCTTTGTCAACCCATTGACCGTTGTGGCGTTTGTGGAATTGGCAATTGCTCGTGGCACCAAAACCATCGTCCACACAGCGGGCGCATCGGCGTTGGGTAAAATGCTGATCAAGCATGGGAAAGAGTATGGTATTGATGTGATTGCGGTCGTGCGTCGCCAGGAACAAGCACAAGTGCTCCAATCCATCGGGGCCAAGTACATTGTCGACACGTCCAATTCTGAATGGAAAACCCAACTCAAGACGTTGACCCAAACTCTTGGTTCGACATTGGCATTTGACGCCGTAGCGGGATCACTTACGGGGGATATCCTGACCTGTATGCCTAAAGGGTCCGAGGTCCAGGTGTACGGCGGACTGTCGAACGAACCGTCAAGCGGCGTGAGCCCCGCCGACCTGATCTTCCAGGACAAAAGCGTGACTGGATTTTGGCTGGTCAAGTACCTCGCCAAGCGCGGGATGCTCGGTAAGCTCTTCATGATCCAGAAGGTCACGAGCGGGCTCAACTCGACATTCCAAACCACGATTAGCAAAACGTATGGGTTGGAAAACGCCATCCAAGCGTTCCGCGACTACACGGGCAACATGAGCGACAACAAGGTTGCGTTCAAGCCTACTCAAATCGTGTAATTTAGCAAGTTTACATATCTAACTATTGAGTTGGATGTCGCTCCGAATTGCTATGTAGGCTTCACAATGGTGCAACTTCAGTCTCACCTGTTTTACTAGTTGGTAAAAATGGCTTGGCCATTATGCCAAACCTCAACCCTTGTGGCTCTTGAACTTGAGACCTCAGAAGTGACATACAATTTCAATAGCCTATCTGAACAGCTCTGGCGCTGGATACACACCTGGGCTGTAATTTGTCCACCATACCTTTTGGCATGTACAGGATGAAAGCAAAGATTCGCATGGTTGTGATCTGTAAGCCGTACTGATTAGGCTAACGCCACCATTTAGTTTTGTCCAACCGATCATTCTATATCGCTGGTGCACATGGTTGAATTTTTTCCGACCTTAACCCTTAGTGTCGTGGGATCGTGAACGTTATGTCGGCTATTTGGACGAACAGCCGTGTTTAGATTAGCAGGCGCCAGTTCGTGTCACACCGTATTCAAATCGGGGTCAAATCAAGCAAACCCAACACCGAGTGAGTCCTCAACGTGACTTTTGGGATTTCTCCCAGTGTCGGAGACCTGTACAACATGATACATTTGAGCAGTTTTCAGCTATGTCCATTTTGTTGTGAGAAGAACCATTCCAGTGTGAAAAGAACCACTTTCATGTGAGACTGCCATCATTAGATGTGATCGAGTTTTTTGCTCATTGCAGAGTCAGCTTCTACACTTTAAGTGACTGTGACCCATCACAAGCAACGACACTCTGGAACGACTACTACAGTACATTGTAGCGCTACTCCCATTTCCGCATAAGCCAGCCAATTATGTACTGCTAATAGTATTTGGTACAACGACATGACTGGGACTGGGTCCGAGCATCTTGGACCAGCGTCTGGTCTCCACGTCAGTGTTGTTTTGGGTGCTTTGAATTGTTCTACCACCATGGTTATTTTGTTCAACATCTCCGGTTCCCAGTCGTACGTCATCGCCGTGTACAATTGCCAACTCAACCTTGGCGGCCAATGGTTGCTGGTTATATATGGCAGGGTCGAATGCATTGCCCATGGCTGTTCGTCGATGTACACCCCATTGAATTCCCCCACGTAATCAAACACAACTCTCGCGACAATTACCTACATGCTCAGATGCCTTGGATGGATCTGAAGTCATTTTGGCCCAGACATTTTTGCTGAATGGACATCAACCGTAAGTCTGGCGTTGCCCACACTTTAAAGCACCAACTATGTCCTCAGCGTTCGATTATTGCCCTGTTGACGGCCCTGCCGACCACATTTGCCAAACCAACGACTTTGCTTTGTTCAACGTTTACGATGCGGCGGGCAAAGTTTCGCCTTCAAGTTTTGACGATAGTGTCATCCTTTGACAAGATATTTAAGTGTCTCCAAGATGTTCACGGGAATCTCGAGCGAGTTGGCCAAGTCAACTACTTCGAACAATGGCACTGTGATGATGTTCTTTGTAATTCTGCTGCACAACTCGTGATAAACCAAACCAAGGAGAACACCAAGTGTCACCCAACGTTGTGGAATGTCAGATCGGTTGGATCGATCAAGGCTTGGTCAAGCAGTGTGATTATTTCGTGGTTTCGGCTTGATATACAGCACAAGCTCGGCACTGATGTCCATCAAGTCGACCAGCGCAAACGTCGCAGCACCATGAGGTTGGTGGTCACCTTGGAAAGGTCTTAATACATAGATTCGTTGAACAGGAGCGCCATCGTATGATGCACCTAGCTGTGGGGCAACACACACCAAGTGAGCTGTAGTCCAGTTAGTACTTCCAACGCACACACCCCCTCGGCGGCCATCTCCCGATGTCGCTTACCTTTGCTCGGAACGATGTGCCGTTGCATGTCTCCTTGGGACGGCGATATCAAGTCGAACTTCGCAACTCCATGGGACAGCAATTTCAAGTCGAACTTCGCAACTCCATGAGGAGCTCCGCTATCGGCACGCGGATCGCCAGACAAAATCAATCGACCACCCACATGCAGAGCGAAGTGTAAATATTGTGTAAATATCGGCACGCGGATCGCCAGACAAAATCAATCGACCACCCACATGCAGAGCGAAGTGTAAATATTGAATACGTTAGTTTTCCAATGAACTGTTGGCGACTTAAGCCATTGCTGTGTGTCGAGGAAGCGACGGCAGGACGCG